CCCTTCACAAGTATGCTTTCGGTATATTTTTCTCCGTTATAAAACCCACTTGAAGCAAAAGTCAGCATCATGGACGACATATCTGGATAGCGTTCCATTGATTGGGGGAGTGGCGAAAAATCTCATTTCAGGACACAAATTGTATCTTCCAGTTTTACAATGCTCACAAAGTTTGCATGGCAATCCTGGTTCCATTGCAATTCGATCACCAACTTTCAAGTGTTGCACCTCACTTCCGATCTCTGATACAACTCCTGATGTTTCATGGCCAACAATCTAAAATGAATTGGATTAGAATAAAATAATTTTAAAGAATTTTAATAGGTTTACCATTGGCTCTTTAACCACAAACGGTCCAATGGCTCCATGAGTCCAATAATGCACATCACTTCCACATATTCCTACAGTATGAACTCGGACCAAGACCTGTTTGGATCCTGGTTTCGGAATTGGAACCTGCTCCAGACGGAGGTCATCAACCCCATGAAGGACAGCTGATAGGTTGTCTTCGGACATTTCTTATCCTGAATGTATGGAAAATATAAATATAATTAATACAAGAAAATAAAGGAATCGAAAAAGAATAATAGAAGATAATGTTCTATTTATCGGTTTTGGGAAGCAACTGATAAGATATCACAGCACGTGTTGTGAAGACTGAGAGATGACAGGATATTCGGAGGTTCAGAGAATTAGTTCGGACAATGTTAAGATTGACCAATCGACCGTGTGATACGGGTTCGCAATGTTTCAAGGCGGAAAAGAAAATGAAAACTGAGAAATTTGAAGAAAATAGAAAAACTTCATTGGTTGTTTAATTGGTAAAATTATTTTGCAGGATTACTGGAATCACTAATTTCACTGAATTTAATAGTTGCCTGAAAATTAGTATCCTAGAGATATTTTTTAAAAAATCACCGTGAACACTAATAGAAGTCTATCCAATACTTCCCGTTTGAGCTCAATTAACTCAGTTTCTATAAGAGATAGCAAACACTTGTAAAATGATAAAATGTTTGTCATAATATTATCAACATTTTATCAGTTGACACATTTTAAATATCTCTCGTGGAAATTGAGATAATTGAGTTCAAAGTACAAGTATAGGGTGACCTTTTATTTGAGTGTTTTTGGTATACTATAGTAAGTTTATAGTTTGCCTGATCCGCATTGGATCTCTGATCTTTTTCACGAGTTTTCAGACTGCTTATTTTCCATTTACCCGGCAAGCTTTTTAATTGTAAGAACTAATTTTGTTTTGCTCATTTTGAAAATTTGACTCTTCTGGCTAGTACACTACTTCAAAGTGCCACTTATTTCAAAGATCAAACTTTTTCATCTTCCCTTCCATGACTTCCATGACTACCCTATTTCCCACTTATGCTCCTTTCGTAGTTTGTAATGCTGACTACGTGAGAGTGTCTCACTGTTCTCTGTGTTCTTGTGATCACGAATCAATAATACAAGAGACGCAGACACTACAATTACGCTCTTCTATGTTCTCTGCTGCGCTGTCGACTGGCTACGAAACCGGCTACAAACTACAGCCTAGTCGTCTGTCACACACTATTTCGCATCTTTGTAGTCTTGTCCTCTCGATATACGTCAAATACATTTTCTCCCAACACACACTCACAAACACTTCGTCCTTTTTTTTCCTTTTATTTTCTCCAATCTATTCTAGTTTCCAAAATTATAACAACCTTTGAATTCCAGATTTAATCAATCCAAAAATGTCAAATCCATCAGAAGAAAAAGTGGAACCATTTCATAGCATGATCATTGGAATTGGAGATCTGGGAGGAATCGGTGGAATTCTGGATCCAGCCAAAATCGAACCAGCTACTCCACCTACAGATCACTCTACAGATCATCCAGGAAACCAAATTATAGGAAATCGCGGGAAATTCGAAAAGCCAAATTGTGCAGTTTGCCATGAGGTTGGAGATGGATTGCATTTTGGAGCAGAGGCGTGTCGGTGAGTATCTTTGGAAATTAAATAAAATCTAAAGATCAATTTTTGGGTGTTTAGATTTTCAGAAATTCCCGAATTTTTCTGGTTCTTTCAATTTTCAGAAATTTAGGATCTCATGAGTTTCCGAATTTCTGAATTCGCGGGTTTCTGATTTTCTGGCGATTTTTAGTTTTTCTGGAATTCTCAACGTTCAAAAATCATTTCAAATTTTTGGATATCTTTTCTGAATTTTTGAATTCTTCTGGTGCTTTCGAGTTTTCTAGAACCCTTGAATTTTCAATTTTTTGGAAATTTTTGGATTTAAAATTTTCTGGAATTTTCCGAAATGCTCAATCAAAGTTACATTTCAGAGCTTGCACTGCGTTTTTTCGTCGAAGTGTGGCACTCAACAAAAAGTACGAATGCCGTGCTGGTGGAAATTGTGAGATCGCTTCAAGTGAGTTGTTATTTTCAGATTTAACCAATACATATTATATTCCAGATATTCGATGCATGTGCCGCTCGTGTAGATTCGACAAGTGCCTTGCCGTAGGAATGAATCCAGAATGTGTTCAAAACCGTCGAGATGCATTTGACAACACCAAAGAAGAACCATTGGCAAAAACTCCTAAGCTTACGGATATTCTCATGAAACCGATTCCACAATTCTCGCAACCTCAGATTGCTCCAACTCCTGTTTCAACAGCATCTTTTCTTGACTTTTCGGCATTCAAGGATCCATCAACAAGCAGTTTCTCAGCCTTTTCACCAGCATCTCTTCCCGGACTCAGCTCTTCTCCATCCCTTGAAACCATGCCTTTGTTGGAAAGAATGAGAATTAATTATGAGAAAATGGAAAGTGCAAGAACTGTTATTCATCGAAGAAAAGACGAGAATATTTTCCAACAAAAAGTTCCAAGAGCCATTAATTTCAAACAAGCTACGGAGGTGACAACCAAAGAAGTCTCGTTGGTTGCTGATTGGGTTGAATGGTGTTTCGATGATTTTGGTGCACTTCCGGTAGATCAGAAGACGATTCTCTATCAGAACTTTTTCATTTATTTTTGTATGCTTGAAAGAGCTTTTATGACAGTCAAAAGTGGTGAGTAGTTTAGAGTAATAGTTTTTAAAACTGTATCCGACCTTTCAGGAAGAGATGGGATATGTGTAATGGCTTCTAAAGACTACATTGACTACGTTAATCTTGAAAGTTTCTTCGAAGGGTGTGGAAGTGAAACTAGTGGAACACCAGAAGATATTGCTAAGTCAGTTTACTGCCAACCTTGGAGTTTCCTCATGCGTAAAACTTCAGAAGTTGCAGACTCATCCGTCCATCGTTCGAACTTCAAAGAAGAAGTCTTATAAATTTGATGCGTCTGGAGAATGTGGATCATTACGAGTTTTTTGCACTTTGCGTCATGCTTTTCTGGGATTTTGGACTGGAAGGACAATCAGATGAATGCAATGAAGTGGGAAGAAGAGTTAAGCATCGAGTGACCAGAGAGATGGCGTTCTACTTGAGAAATGTGAAGAAACACGAAGAACCCATGTATCGGATGGCTGGTGTTGTGGCAATTCTGCCAGCTCTTCAGGTATGTTTGGTGGACCAACTCTTTTCAAATCGCTATTGCTAAATTTCAGCGTGCTGTCCGTCGATTTCAAGAAGATATAGAAATGGCAAGTATATTCAACATCTATGCCCTCCCAGCCAATTTCTATAACATTGTGAATGGAAAGTTTACATCGTGATGATTTCTGACACACTGTGATAATTTTTCTTGTGATTGGTATATGCATAGTGATCTCTCTTTGACACGGTTTTTATTTTGTGATATTTTTTAAAAATGAAGACTGAAATAATTCGTCTACTCCCCACTTTGTATATCGTATCATAGTTTTATTCAAGCCATCCTGTTTGCAGCCTTCGGCGCTTCAAACGTCCAGCTGGCGCGCCAACGGCGCGAGTTCGTCGCTTCGCTCCTCAATTTTTTGGTCCTATTTTAAATAGACCTGCCAACTTCAAAAGCTTTGTTCCCTCCTGGGGAAACGGTATGACATGCAAAGATGAAAAGAAGACAGCCATCGCTTCACTTATTTATTATACACAAGAATGATGATACTGAACCAGTTATTCAATTAGTAGGTCAGTTAAGATTTCCGTGTAACTATGCTTGCTTAACATTGAATAAAGACTTTGATGACATCGGCCTTTTGGTTTCTCTTAAAGGCTTCCAGGGTATCTTCGAGTTTGTAATGGGCACGAGTCAGTCCCGAGAGATCCAGTTTCCCCGAGCTAAGAAGTTCAATGGCAGTTGGGTAGCTGGAATTCGTCTCGAACTAGAAATTAAAGAGTGATCTACATACCAATTAGCATATCTGAAGGTTCCTCGTATATCAACCTCTCTTGTGGCCGATTCGATAATTGGAATTTCAACTCTATCGGCTCCCAGACCAACAAGAACTATGACTCCACCTGATTTGGTAGTCTAAAAACAGGGAAATGATTATTTCATCTTCTTTCCGTTTTCTTCCGTTCTACTTACCGTTATCGCCGTCTCAATACTCGGCTGCGCACCGGTACACTCGACACAGACATGTGGCTGCTGTCCACCCAACGCGCTGATGATCTCCGCTCTTACGGCCTCCAACGACTTGCCTCTGCAAAATATCAAGGTTATTTTTACAACGCTCTTCCGCAGCCTCATTGGCTCAGTGGCAGAGCGTCTGTCTAGTAAACAGAAGGTCGCTGGTTCGATTCCAGCATGAGGCACCGAAATTTTTTGGGCAAAACGCTTACTTTACATTAATCGTAGCATCTGCTCCCAGCTTCTTGGCGAGGGAAAGACGACCGTCGTCTAGGTCGGTGATAACAACTTTTCCAGCTCCCACTGATTTGGCAGTTAGCAGATTGAGAACACCGATCGGGCCAGCTCCAAGGACTAAAACTCTATGTCCCATTCGAACATTTCCACGGCGACATGCATGAATAGCCACTGACAGTGGTTCTATGAGAGCTCCATCTTCGAAAGAGAGATTATCAGGTAGCCTGAATTTTTCCTTTCGGTATATTTTTCCCCGTTATAAAACCCACTTGAAGCAAAAGTCATCATCATGAACGACGTATCTTGATAGGGCACCATTGATTGGTGGAGTGGCGAAAAATCTCGATTCAGGACACAAATTGTATCTTCCAGTTTTACAATGCTCACAAAGTTTGCATGACAATCCTGGTTCCATGGCGATTCGATCACCAACTTTCAAGTGTTGTACCTCACTTCCGATCTCGGATACAACTCCTGATGTTTCATGGCCAACAATCTAAAGTTCATTGCATTTGATTAAAACTATTGTGATTGCTTTACCATTGGCTCTTTAACGATAAACGGCCCAATTGCTCCACGAGTCCAAAAATGTACATCACTTCCACATATTCCAACGGTATGAACACGGACCAAGACTTGTTTGGGTCCGGGTTTCGGAATTGGAACCTGTTCCAAACGGAGGTCATCAACTCCATGAAGAACAGCTGATAGGTTGTCTTCAGACATGTCTTTGCTGAATGTTTGTGAAGTAGCAATAGAAAAATACAAAAAAAAAGACCGGAAAAGAATAAGAGGAGATAATGTTCTATTTATTTTTTATTAGGAAGCAAATGATAAGATAACACAGCGCGTGTTGGGAAGATTGAGTGATCGGAAGATATTCAGAGGTCCAGAGAATTAGAAATAGGTTCGGACATTATTGACTTCTGGACTTTGTTAATGCGGGTTCGAAATGTTTCAAAAAGCGAGAAGTATATGAAAATTTAAGAATTCGAAGAAAAAAACTTTTTTAAACTTTTTTAAATGAATTGATACAATAATTTTTCAGAAATACTAGAATCATTAATTTTAATGAATTTAGTTGTCTGAAAAAATCTATGAGATCGTTGAATCGTGGAATCTGATACCAGTTCTTCATGAATCTGAAAGAATGTCTTCTTATCTCTGATTCATAATAAATGAGAGAATTGAACATATTTGTACCATAAACCTGTAACAGAAGGGCCCTTGCACTGTTCATTTTGTGCCATCCGTCGATTTCAAGAAGACGTCGAAATAGAAAGTATCTTTCACATCTACGCCCTTCAGCCAATTTCTATAACATTGTGAATGGAAAGTTTACATCGTAATGATTTCTGCTGCACTCTCTGACACGGTCGTTATTTTGTGATAATTCTATAATTCCTGAAATGAAGACTCTTACAACTTGTTAAGGTTATCTTACCCTGTTCGCCTAGTTTATCAAGAACAGTATTATTTTCATGTTTCATTGGTCACATAGACTACGCATGTAGTCTCTCTAACTGTCTCCATCTTAAGACAATTGATCGCACTCCTTCTTTTACTTCTACTTTTCTAGCAACCAGACAGGTCACCTGAGTGTTTTTCTCGTTTTTCTCCTCTCTACAATTTTGATGGAGTCTACAAATTCTCCAACCTATATTGAGCTGCAATCGAGAAAAACAGGAGAAAAGTCGAAATGTGCAATTTGTGACGATGTTGGAGATGGATTTCATTTTGGAGCGGAAGCTTGCCGGTTAGTAGTGGGGTTCTTCAGTGAATAAACAAAAAATAATTCAGTTTTTTTATTCTTCCCATCGGTTAGAAAAAAATTCAATCCAGTAATTTTGAGAAATTTTTAGCTCAGATGAATACAATCTAATTTTTTCAGCGCATGTGCAGCGTTTTTTAGAAGAACTGTTGCGTTGGGAAAGGAATATGAATGTCGACAACATGGAAATTGTACAGTGAACACGAGTGAGTTAGAGATTAAGTGAGAAAGTAGCTATAATTCTCTTTTGTGGCAGTTGTACGATCGATTTGCAAATTTTGTCGACTCAAGAAATGCTTCGAAGTTGGAATGAAATCGACAAGTGTTCAACCAAAACGAGAAATCTGCAAAACAAAGGAAAACGGTCAATTGAACAAATCGGAGAGTTCAACTTCAATGGAAGTCAGTTCACATACATCTATTACAGTCACTCCAACTTTAGACGCAATGCCAACGTTTGCAAGAATGAAGGAATGTTATGAAAAATTGGAACACGCTAGAAATGTAGTTCACCGTGGAGATGGAGACAACATTTTTGAACAGAAGACCCGTAGGCCTTTGAATTTTTATAAAGCCCTCGATTGTTTATCCAAAGAAATTCCACTGGTTGCTGATTGGATTGATTGGTGTTTCGATGAGTTTAGATTACTTCCTGCAGATCAGAAAAACTTGCTTTATATGAACTTTTCACCATTGTTTATCGTTTTGGAGCAATCCTATCTTACTAGTATGTATGGTTAGTTAACGTTTCGTCGATGGATATACTAGAATTCATGATTCCAGGTGGAGAGAATAAGTTGGTGTTAGCATCAGGAGATTATGTGGAATTGAACAAACTTGAAGAGTTTTTTACGGATCAGGTGCTCGGGATATGCGGAAAGAAACTGGCAAAGTGAGCATATTAAGCATGAATTTTATAATCAATCCCTTATTCAGAATATTTGGACCATCTCTAGAGCTCAACGTAACATTCCTCGAGTTGATGAGAGACGAGAAAGTAGAGCTCTACGATTTCTTTGCTCTCACTGTTGCATTATTTTGGGACCATGGACTAGTCGGACAATCTGAGGAATGCAGAAATATCGCTAAAAAAATGAAAGGAGATATTGTGAAGGAGTACACATACTACCTGAAACACTTTAAGGGAGTTGAAGATCCAATTGGAGAAATGGCTCTGAAAATTTCGCTTCTCACGTCTCTACAGGTACTTTTTTCTCAATTTGTAATCTCACAGTTGCAAGAATATCAAAAAATCTTCCAGAGGGTGTCCCATCGATTCCAAGAAGATATGTCACTAGCTCAAATTTTCGATGTTTATACTATTCCTGCGAATGTGGCAACTGTTCTCTTTGGGAGATGCGGATAAGACCTAGTACATTTGTTTTTACTGAAATCGTTTTTCTCTTTCGTTTCCTGTGATTTTTTACGTGACCATCTACGGGGTTTTTTTAAATGTATGTCTCCTAGCACCTGATGCAGCCACTCAACAGGTAAAATGTCAGCTCCAGAAGAAGTAGAATTCGATAGCAATGTGAATTTGAAAAATTTAAGCATAAACTAAACATTCCATTTTTCCAGGAGCATTTTGCTTTAATCTTCGCCGCGTTTTCTATTGGTCTCATTGTTCTCATATTCGCACTTCGTGGGCAACGAAAACGGATTCTGGAAGAGAATATGTTTAAGCAACGGGTCCTGCTCAGCCAGATTTTTGATATGTATATGATGTAAGCATTTTGTATAAATTAAAAAGTGGATAATTTGTTTTTCAGAAAAACGGAGACACTTAGAATACAGAAGGAGCAGCTTGACGTTCATCGTCATGTTTTGAGAACTGGAAAAATTGAGGAGAAGAATTGAACATGTGGATGCACATAAAAAGCATGATTGTTATTGAACTTTTATTGCACAAAAATATGATAAAATATATAATATGAAGTGATACAATGACCAGTGTACAAACACAGAACAATTTCGAGATCGTTACAAATCTAGTGGCCCGTTTTCAAGAAACTAATTTGGTTTTTGAAGACTTCTCCTGCTCAAATCCGTCGTTATCAAACACTTGTTTTTGAATTGGCTTCAGTGGAACCAATCTTTTATCGAAAATAATCCATAGGAAAGTGGTGAACAGCAGCAGAATACAAAGGAATTCCCAAGCTCTTCTCGGTCCATAGGTAGAGTAGATCAAACTGAAAGTTTTCATTTTAACTGAAGATTCTCTTTTTTTAAACCAACTTACGTAATGAAAACTGGAGCGAAAATTCTAGCTGTGGTGTTGGAGATGTCATATAAACTTTGCTGAGTTCCTTGACAATCTGGATTGAGAAGTTTCGAGTAGAGTGTCGCATTTGCCACGTTGATGAATGGCATGAATAGTCCAAAACTGAGAATGTAGCCGACATAAAATGTCCATTCTGGAGCAATAGTCAGATTTGAGCACCAAGTGAAATGAGCCTCATCGCATCCAATTAAAGTTTCATTGGAGAACTCGACATCCAAAACATAGCTAGAGTAAAATTGCCAGGAATAAGTGGCGAGGAGATGACAAACGAATAGAATGAGAACTAGGGAGTTAAAGATCTTGTCGCGAACACTGAAAATTATAAATAGGAAAAAAGGATCGGAGACAACTTACACTGTCGACAATTTAGTGAAGATGATAAGAAGATAGAGTACGGTAGCAATGAGTCCGGTCGTCAAATAGGTGGTTGCCATGCTGGCAACTGCTTCCTGAAAATACAGTACATTGATCATAGTTCTTCCATCGGTGATTCACCATAAAACGGTTCAATAGCTATTTTTATCACCGTTTGAAACCAAAGAAAGACCGTGGGAGTTTTAAAATTTGACGAAAAAACAAACCTGTCTTGTTTGAAAATACATCATCATCAGAATTGCTGGAGCGAGGGTTTCCACAGAAATTTGCATGAAATTTTGAACGAATCGAGTGAGCATGCAGATGAGCATGGCGACGATGTCAGAGCTTGGATACTCATCCTTGATGGTTGGGTATTGACTTTCAAGATCTGTGATCGCTTTCTTGTCAGATTCCTCAGCGATTTCTTCCTCGAACAGCACAATTAGGGATACAAATCCAACCATAGTCAACACGATTCCAAGGAACGCTGGGGCATTGTTGGAATGGATTGAAAGAATTCCTGGGAGAACCACAAATCCAACTTCTCCGAGTGGTAAAAACATCAATTGAAGGCCAGGTCCGACTACTGTTCCAACTGATCTTCCTCCAGAAATCGAAGCCATCGCCTTGGATCGATCTGATGCGGTTGAATGGAGAGATGCACAAGTTCTCATTGGACTCGAATTTCCCATTCCGAATCCACCGAGAAGTCGAGAGAGCATCATGATGTGAGCAACCCAAGTTGGAGGAACGGAATCCACGAGGAGGTAGACGAGGTTAGAAGCGAGCATCAACAAGAAACCACAGTGCATCGGAGGGGCGCTCTAAAATTAGTAGATGAAGTTAGGATTGAAAAAATGTTATTGATGAGGGTTACTGTAACTTCTAGTAGTTTGAGATTTTTAAAGGATAACTTACACGATTGGTTCTACTGTTCCACCATCCTAAAACGAAGCATCCAATGCAGTGCCCCAGACTAGAAGTGGCCATAATCCATCCGAATTGCGATTCGGTAGCTGTGGAATCCAGCTTTTTCAAATACGAAAACATTGAAGTGAGATAAATAGAATATTGGGTGTTCTGAATCAATGAGAACACTCCCATCAGGTAGACCACTCTCCAATTGGTACGTTCACAGGGCATTTCTGAAACGAAACTAGCAATAGTAATAAATCAAGAGAAGAAACAGTTCAAGAAAAAAGGCGGAAATGATATATTTTTGAATACAGCAAGCTATCTACGGAATCATGAAAATTTTCCCTGTGGAGGCGGCGACCCCCCCCCCCCCCCCTCCTTTTTCCCTTTTTATATTTTTCCGAACACTCTTGATGATTTTTTGCTTTTCTTCCTTTTTTTTTCTTCAAATGGTGACGTGTCAAATAGACTGGTTATCATGGTTGTGATTACCTTTGTCCGTCTTTTTGTACCAGTCAAAGTTGGTATGGTTAAGAAGGTGTGGAGGAACATTTGAAATTAAAAAAAAACGGTTGAACAGGAGAAAAAGAAAACAAAGCAAAAAAGGAAAATAAGCACTGGGGAGCGCCAGGGAATTTCAGAAAATTTTCTTCTTGCAAGTTTTCCCTGAAAAAGAAACTTTTCTGCAAAAAATTCAAGATGCCCAAATTTTCACACTGCATTTGTTTTTCAAAGTGCTGTTATAAAATCAAGTATCTCTTCACCTGCTCCCATGCCATCTTTTATATTCGAAAGCTATGCATAAAATTATCTGAAAAGGGGTGGGGTCCTGCACGCTGGATGACCAAGTTTCTCGTACGTCACCTGATGTTTGTCAGGTCGCACGGTGGTCTTGCTTCTCATTTCCAGTTTACTGTATTCCGTATTTTTTTTTTCAGCAGAATTGACAACGATTGTCATGTCAGTGATATCATCACTATGAACGATCAAATCGAGAATTTTCAGACTGGTTTTTGATACTGATACCGGGTTTTGTTTTGATTAGACTATCAGAGAGTTCATTCAAAGGTTTAAAGTTGTTGACTCACTTACCATCGGTATCACCTAATAGACGTTTGGTTTGATCAGATTCTATCATTGGAGAATACGACTGGAAAATGGATTATTTGAACCCACCTTTTATCCGATTTTGTATTGTTTTGCTCATAGGGTAGCTTGAATAAAAACATGAGTAATGTTATTTTTGTACTTTCTGGAGATTCATATGTCCTTTTTTGGAAATCAAGTCAAACAAAAATGATAAGGAGCGGTTTAAAAATTGATAACGTTTTCCAGTCTACCGTATTTCAGCGAACAGAAGCCCACCCTTTCACTTTGAGCTTTACTAGTTGATCACTTTTTTCATATCTTTCAGAGGAATCGAGATAATTGAGCTCAAAGTTGTCGGTTAGGGTAGGCTTCTATTAGAAGAAGTACGGAAACAACTGATGTGATTTTTTCCATGTTCACTGAAATTTAATATTCAAAGCCGGTGATATCTGTAACCTTACAAATGATGTTTATAGATGTTATAAAATTTGTGGTCCAGTAAGCCGTGTGACAATATTCAGAATGCTGTAAAACCTGTAATGACCCCCACACTGTCAAGTTTGGGCTCAATTATCTCAATTCCTATGCAAGGTATCAAAAAAACTGTATTGATAAGAAACTTCTGATATTATAATGAACAATATATCAGTTCACAACTTTTTTCATATCTTTGACAGGAACCGAGAAAAATTGGCTCGAAGTTGACATTTATGTGCCCTTCTATTACAGGTCTTTCGGTATGTTGGCCAAATCAACCAGCCAACTCCGTTTTCCATCTTGCCAACCAGTCGAGCCACGTACATGTTTTATGTGAATTTTCAGTTATTAGATGTGCTTCTCCTCCAATTCCAGTGCTGAAAATGACGAATTTTCGAAAATCCGTTACTTTCGTAATTTTGATATTCTGCAAATGCTACTGCGGAGTGCTGTGCAAGTTTAATAGCTGACTTGATAATTTAAATTTTCGCTTTTCCAGCTGAATCAACTCCAAATGCCACACAATCAACGCCAGAAGAAAGTACTGGAATAATATCTTCAAGTGTTACAGTAACCCATTCCACTTCTAACAATTTCTCTACAGTACCCACCGAAACACCTCCAGATGTTCAGATCACAACAAAAAAAACAACAACAACAGATGCATCAACCATCCTTCAATCTGAAGAATCAAAAACTACAAGTGTTCAGGAATCCAATGATCTTTCGAAAACCTCATCAACCATTCCAACAACAATAAAAACCGCTGCAAAGGAAAGTTTAAGGTAGGCGGAGGAGACAAAAAATGTGTTCTTTGAAATTCTATATTTTCGTGTTGATTCGAAAATCGGAAGATCGAAACTACGAAAGTACGGAAACAATGTTTTGTTCTATTTTGTTCTGCAATTCGAATCCGATTACTGTCTTTTGAATGTGACGTATTTACTACGCCTGCACTTTTTGATTCCGAAATGAGACGGATTACTCTACTTGGTTGTTGATGAGCAAATGTTTTTCCTCTTTGAAATGTTTTTCAGAGATTCTAGCACTTCAACATTTGCTCCTTCGGAATCTACAAAGTCCACAACATTGACGATTTCTTCAACATCCAGTGGAGCTCCAGCCCTTTCAAAATCTGGCTTCCCTCACCGACCTTCTCTTTTTCGCTGCCCAAAGTTATTTCTGGATGAATATGCTGTTTCTGGATCTGGCGAAAATGGTACTTGTGTTGAGCCCGAAGATTGCAAGCAAGATAAATTTCATAAAAGAAAGGACATTCTGTGAGTTTTCGAAGCTACCGTAATTCCGCTAGCAAATGCCCACATTTGCCATCAACATTAAGCTACATACATTATCTCGCCTCCTGTGAATGATATAAAAAATTGAATATCTTTGACAGGAATCGAGTTGATTGAGTTCAAAGTTGCTCTTTGAGAAAAACAAATTTTCAGTACGAAATGTGTGCAAAATGAAGATCAGACGGATTCTGGATGCTGTTACAGTAGGAAATATTGGTTTCCGAAATAAAACATGAAACGTATTAATTTCAGTGAGCACTAAAAGTCTTTGTTCTCAAGGATCGGTAGGGGTCAAACTCGTAGAGTGTGAAACTTTGGACGACTGCAATTTGGACGATGAACAATCACAGCGATGGTGTGATCCGGTTTCAAAGTTTTGTTGCCAATGTATGTCTTTTTTTGCATTTTGAATCATTTTTTGTTTTTAATTTTGTTTGTTTTTTCATGGGGTAACGGGGATTACGGTGAATCCCGTTTTTTCGAGTTAAAAATTGTAAGGAAAAGTGTGATAGGGCAGCCTGAAGAGCTAAACTAAACAGGTGAGGCGAGATTGCCGAAAAGTGTACAAACGGCGGTTGAAGATTTGGGAATTGGCTGTAATATTTTTTTTTGTTTTTAACAAAACTTTTTACGAAGGAACATCGTTTTTTTAATCATGATCCGATTGCTAGTGCTTATATTTTGTACTTTTAATCAAAAAATGTTCCCCATCTGCTTAAACATGCCAGTTATAGCCAGGTCTCATGTCTTCAGCCGCCATTCGTACGTTTTTCGTCAACCACACCTTACCTGTGTATCCTTACATTTAAAAATGTTTCAGTGGACAATAAAAAAGAGCTCTTCTGTCCAGTTCGTCGTATTCCTCTGATGGGTGAAACTAAATGTACTCATGACAAGGGAAACAACACATGGGTATGTCCCAATTCGGTCGGATTTTGTGTAGAACAGCACTGTTGTCCACCTGGTAAGAAAAACTTACAGTCTTGAAAATACTTCCTATTTCTATAAGGCAATCAAAATATGATGCCTGGAAAAAAGCCATACGAAACGAATATCGACTGTACGGATAGTACAGTAATTTCCAAAACCTTATTATTTGGATACTGTGATCCACTAACTAAAAAAATTTTCATAATGAGTGAGAAAAACTATGAAGGACAGGATAATAAAATGCTTGACGCTTTTTGTATGAGTGGAAGGTGAGAAATCATTTCCAGTCAAAAACCAACCAGTATGTTTTCAGAGATTGTGGTCGATCCTATGGAACTGAAAATGTTTGTGTGAGAACTTCAACTCAAACACCTCGATGCTTCATAAACCCGAGGGTTCGGAAGTTTATTTTCAGCTCCAAATAATTTTCAAACAATTTTCAGAGCAAGTACCACTCTCCAGAGACGCGATCTCTGTTCTGGGTATCCACTGTGAGCTATGTAACTCTTGGAACTTCAGTTCTCGCTCTTCTCTTCACAATTCTACACAGAATCTATACAATTGATGACTCGTTTCCAGGGGAACGATCTGTTTCAGAAGAGCAATCTCAACCTTTGGTGTTGTCTGCGCAGTAGAATATGAATAAAGTTTATTATTAGAATTTGATCTTATTTTTTGGATTTTTTATGAGATTTAACAAGTGTCTTGACATCTCTTCTGTGTAGAATCGAATCTTTTGTCAACGCTTCAATGGCCGCAGTGGCAACGGCTTCCTGGCGACGTTGTTGAAGGGCTTCGCGGTATTGCACTGGGAATTATACAGCTACAGTCATCCTAAAATATTTCTAAAACTCACTAGAATGAATAATTAACAACCCTCCCCATGCAATCGACCAAAACCATCCAACAAACAGAAAGGTAATGGTGAAAAATTGGGAGATTCCAACGAGCAAATTGACAACAAGAGTTATTAGTTTTCGACCTTCTTTCATATTTATCCGTGGTTGTCCCATACATAATGCAGAGAATCCGGATATTATTGTGCCTGAAATAAAGAATAAATTTGAAAAAATTGAAAACCAGATCCTTCCTACCAGATCCCGGAATGAAAATATTGAAAAGTAAGCATGTAATCGCAACTGGAACTGGAAGAAATGGTATGGCTTCGTGCATTGTTGTGATGTCATTGGTTGGTAGATTCACCTGAATCAGCTAGTTGTTTTAAGAAAAAGCAAGGATTTTCGGGTCAGGATTCGATATTTCGAAAATTCCAAAAAACCGAAATGCTAAAAGTTGACGAATTCAGAAAATTTTGAATTCCGAAAATTCAGAAATTTTGAAAATCAGATAATTCCAAAATTTTTCAAACCGGATATTTTGACATTCTGTCCGAACCCCTGAAAATGAGAAAAAGTTCTTATTTCCCACCTTGTCTCCAGACTTTGGCTCCTTTTGTGTATGTGCTTCTTCTTGAGCTGCTATTACTATTCCCGTAATATTGAATGCATTCGATTGCACATTGACTTGTAGAATACCCTCAGATCGACCATATTCGATAATTCGAGGAATGGTTTTTTGCACCAATTTCCAGCCACGAACCTTTTCAGCTAAACAAAGTCGTTACTATTATTCTGATACAAACAAATCGAAACCGTGGAAGAGGAACGCCGGTGGCCGTGGCTGAAGGTACCACAACGACAGCCGCTACGGTAACCTAAAAATTAAGCCATTCTCCGGATTTGTTCACTCGTTTTTCACTGTTTTCCGGTGGTTTTTCTGTTATTTTTTCCCAAGAGAAGTCAGAAAATAAACATTTTGGATAGTGAAAAATAGACTGAAAACGCACGAAAATCGAGAAAACAAACCCGGAAAATAAAACTATTTTTAGGTTACGGTAGTTGTCCTTGTGGGACCTTCGGCTACGGCCACACGAGTTTCTCTTCTATAGCTCCGATTTGTTTGGATCGGAATTACACTAATTAAAAGAAATTGAAACTAACAGGTAGACAGAGCATTTGATATTCCATCTGTTACGTTTTGAATCATTTTTCCTTGTTTTCATTCACAATATAATAATACTAGAAGTAATAGTAAAAAAGAAAGAAAGGAATGTCTGGGTTGAAGAAAGAAAAATAGTGGTCAGGTGGAGCGGAAAGCAGGAGGAGTGGTTTCCGGAGCTCCAAGGACAATTATGTGGGTACGAAGAAGAGAAGAAGGGAACCGAATGACAAGAAGGATCATGTCAAATGTTGTGCATTAGGCCTGCTCAAAAGATTATGAAATTTCAAAATCTTTATTTATATTCACTAATTTAATTTCAAATGGAAGAAGAAGAAAAGTGACACGTTTATGAGGATGATGTGATAGTTGATGGTGGAGTTATACTCCCAACGAATTCTTCAATAATCTCGGCCAAACGGGGCGAACGACAAATGAATTTATGCCCCAGGCCGTCTTCAGACGAGAATTCTCGATATCGGATATCCCGTTCAGCTTCTTTTGCCGCCTCGTACAGTGCTCTGCCTAATTTGACCGGCAGAATTTTGTCGTCCTCGGCGTGGAGGATAATGATCGGACAGGATACTCTGAAAAGAACGAAATTATTTAGAAATATATTTAGATGTTATTCTTGTACTAAACATTGGAACTACGAAAGAGAAAGATGGCAGAAGGTGTCATATCGAAAACTACCGCAACTTAAAAATATGTCATTTTTCCCGTTTTCCATTTTTTTTCGTCGAATTTTCTGTTATTTATCCTCACAAATGTCGTGAAAATAAGAATACGTTACGGTAGTTGTCGTTGTGGGACCTTCGGCCACGGCCACCGGCGTTTCTCTTACACAGCTCCGATTTTTCCGAACAAAAACTCAACACTTACGATCTAATTCGTTTATCAGATTGCATGGTGAGACCGACGCTGTTCAGCGGTCGAATGATTATTCGATCCACCATAAAATCATTCATCCAGCTGAAGACAGTAAAAATCGGATGATTTGTGACGGCGTCTTTCAGATTGTTGAACGGAGCTTCGAGGATAAGACCACATGGAGGTTGTTGCTCTATTGACAGGTCTTGGACCAGTTTGCACGATACACTGAAACCAACAAGAACTTCAATCTTCTCAAAAAATCAATAATGGCTTACCCAGTTCCCATAGAATGTCCCCAAACAATGATATTCGTCTTCCCACATTTTTCCTTCAACCATTCGTACACCGATCGCGCATCTTCAACGATTCCAATCTCTGTCGGTGTGCCTTCTGAATCACCGTAGCCCCTGTAGTCGAAACAGACGACGTGATAATTCCGATCACTGAGCAAGTTGTACATTTCGACGCGATGATAGAATGTTCTATCGAACGAGTTGCCATGCGCGTAGAAGATGATTCTAGAACATTCCTGTTATTAAAACTTCAGTTTTTAGAAAATCTACACCAACTTGTCTTCTGAATCTCTCATCAAATCGTCAAAATCTGATTCAGTTGGGTGTTTTCCTTCTGTTCTCCATTCTAAACTCAACCGGTGTGGCAGAATGTGCCAAACGCCAATTTTTCCACTTTTTCCGGGCAAGTGAAGAGATCTTCCGATAGACGTAACGTTGTTGGATGCCAGATCATTGTAATCGGTGTTTGGCAGGCGTCCTTAACAAGGTAACATAGATCGAAGATAAGAGATAAGATAAGAAACACACACTTCGGTGTGAAAAGGGAAAGAAAGAGAAAACTAACGGAAGTTGAGGAAGAAGATGAATTGCGTATAATGTGGAAGGAAGTAGACCAGTATTGGAAGGAAGATGACAATCGAGAGGACTAGAAGAGAAATACATAACAGCAGTGGTTGAATAAGTGCACTGAAATATTACTGGAGTTAGTATTAGTTCCCAGGAATTTCAACTCACATAAAATAGCCTATCATGGTGTTGGTGTTTTGTTAATTAACCGCTGCCATTCGAGTAGTCGAGTCACCTGAATGAATGCGAAATGAGGTGGTGGACAGTGTACTTTTGAAAGTGAAAATAAATGAAATGAGGCAAAAAACTGGAATTGCCTAATAGAAAGATGAATAGATGAGAATTGTGAGAAGCAGACGGATAAGACAGACACCATCTATGCGAAAAAGCTCACACCAGACATTTATTGATTTTCCCTCCCCGGTTAGTGTTTTGTTTGTACTTGATGACGGTCAGGAGGAGCGCCTGACCGCCTGTCCGATTTATTTTTTTTTGAAAAATCCCCACAATGTGATTTTTTTCACAAGACTACTGTCGACAATTTTCTGCCAACACAGAACTTCTGAATTGCGGCATTTTTCTGACCGTAGTTACACATAAATTAATTATTCTTGCAAGTTTTTGCTGTTTTTTCCAGTTTTTTCTTAAAAAATCGAGATTTCAACTTAAATATTTTAATAAAAAATGTTTTCTTAGGCTTTCATTCAAAATGACGACTCTCCGACCATTCGATGTGGACGATATGTTCAAGTTCAACAATGTCAACTTGGACATCAATACGGAAACAGTAAGTATTTCCCTTAATTTCGATTTTACAAACAAAAAAAATTTCCAGTACGGTTTCCAATTCTACTTGCACTACATGATCAATTTCCCGGAATATTATCAGGTTGCCGAGCATCCAAATGGGCAAATCATGGCCTACGGTGGGTTGGAATTTTTAATTTTATCATCTAATATTTTTATTCAGTTATGGGAAAGATCGAAGGACGCGATACCAACTGGCACGGGCATGTTACAGCTCTCTCCGTCGCAGCAGACTACCGTCGACTTGGACTCGCTGCTTACATGATGGAATACTTGGAGAAGACTTCTGAAGCGTGGGGGTTTCTATTAAAATTCCCTCGATTCAAAGCTAACTTTTTCAGACGAAACGCGTATTTTGTCGATCTCTTCGTGCGTGTTTCCAACACCGTCGCCATCGAACTATACAAGAAACTTGGCTACGTTGTCTATCGACAAATTTTAGGATATTACACTGGAGAGCGAGACGAAGATGCCTATGATATGCGAAAATCTCTGTCACGTGATCCTGAAAAGAAGGCGATGGTCCCTTTATCACATCCGGTGCACAGTCGAGATGTGGATTAACAATAGGATGTTTGGTTGTAGTATTTATTTCTGCATATCTCTGGCTTCTTATTCTTCTTTTCGTAATTACAGATTTCTATTTCTATTAAAATTGTTCAATTTTTAAAGATTTAATTGAGCTATTATTGAATCGACAACATGTGTTTCTGAATGATCCGCATCGATGATAATCACATTTGGCTCGTTGCTCCCCGGCATTTCAAGTGTTGCTAGTTGGCTGTCAAGTAGTATGGATGGCATGAAGTGCCCGGGACGAGACTCGACCCGTTTTTGAAGAACTTCCCTGCAAAAATTGAAACGATGGATGCGTGAAAATGTGCGAAAAAACGGACGGAAGTGGGCGAGCGAATTTAGAGTTGTTTGTTGTGTCCATTTTCCTCTCTCTTTTCTTGCCTTCTTCCACTTTTTATTTGAACTCAACACAAATTCAACTTGCCTTTTTAAATTCAACAAGACGAACATACCGCCTCCTCCGGTGTTTCCTTCCGTTGTCGGAGGGAGATTTTCCGAAAGAACGGAACGATACAACTTTTTCAAAGCCGAGCAAGCTATAACACATCCAGGATTACTTCTGGCAAATGCATTGATCAGTTGAAGCCATGGAAGACGATCCTCATCTGTTAGAGGAATTCCAGAACGCATTTTCTCGATATTTTCAGGTGGATGGAAAGTGTCACCATCTTTGAATGTCCTGTTGAGTCTTGAAGCTAGGGAACTACCAATTGTACTTTTCCCACAACCACTTACGCCCATCACGAAGATTGTTAGCTAGAAAACATTTATTGAATTACATATAAAAACAAAATTATACAAAAATAAATGTTACATCATTGTTTGACATCCTTCGTTGGATCAATCGATTCAAATGGAGGAAGGTAGAACCAGCGGGCAACCGACGCGTAGAATGGAACTGAACAGATGATTGTTTTGTGACCAGAGAAACTTGAAAAATGTTACCTGCTGATAAGGATCGAATGATTTGACGAGTCACTGGTCTTGTTGCATAGTATCCCACTGGTCTTGTAGCAAAAATGATGTAGCAGCCGATGCCAAAAAGACTGGAGAAATAGAAGGAAGAATTTAGAAGCAAGGACGATGAAAATTTATACCTGCCGGTGCCAATAATTTTGCACGAAACGCAGTCTTGTTCGGCAGCAGTTTGAGTAGTCGTGGAGGAAGCCAGCTGCAAATTGTTTTTCATTTTTTGTGAAGCTCAAATTTTCGATGGAGACTACACTTGGGTTCAAGCGAGGGGGTCAGAAAAAGCGCCCCAGCAAACTCGTAGGCCAGAAGAAATTTAATAATTTTAAAATGAACGCGGGTTTGAACTAGATCATGATCTATTTCTTAAAAATCAACGAGCTGCAACGCGCG